CTCATTCAAGCTCTGAGCCAGTATTTTTCATCAGTTACTAGAATTTAGAATAATTAAAGCATATTTTTTTCATTTTTAGGGTTTTTTTTTTTTTTTTTTTGAGAGGTTTTTGCTATAGGGCGTGTGGGCTCACCAGAAAGACAGACAGAATACGAGAAATTACCCCCCACCCCTAGGGGGGTTGGCCACGCCACAATCCCTTCTCCTCCATTCTCCTCTCGGGATCCTGGGCACTCATGCACACGTGCCCGGCATGAGTTTACGCCACTGGGCCGGGACTCGAATGGTGATCAACTACATGGGAGACCAGCGACCTAGCCATTATGCCAGCTGCTGGTCCCGTAGCTGATATTTTTTTAAAAAAGAAAACCATTCAGGTAAAGCTTAAAAATTATGTCAATTGGTAACCTTAACTATTAGAAGAAAAATACAGAATTGTAGAAACTCTGAAAACTTGAAGAGCCTGTCTGATTTTACCAGATCATGGATGCCCAAATCTAGGAATCTTGCTCAATAGCATCACTTCTTACATGTGCTCTGCACTACAGTAGATTAAAACAAACTAACAAAATCACACCATCACTGCCCCCCAAATGTCAGCATTTTCCTATGAAATATGGTGTTATTTGGAATAGGAATGAAGAACATGTACAAATGTAGGCATTCTTCTTATGAAGGCAGGCCTCTGGAGCCATTTTCTTAATGTTGTTCAATGTGATCTTTCTTTATGGGAATGAAGAATGTACTGGCTATTTACTAGTAGTATGTTATTAGTGTTATTATCAATCCATTACCCACTTTCAAGCGAGCTGAGTAAAAGCCTTGTGACCAATTCTCCTTTTCTTGCTTTTAGCATAGCATTTAGTAGAGCATGCACTGCCCCCTATTTATTTATTCTTTGCCAATAGTAAAAATTCTAAGAAAATATAAATGTCCTCTCCTTTGCCCTTGAATATTGAAAGAAGTGCTGGACATGGTAATGAATTTTGAGTACTAAGTTACTACATTTGTGTCATTTATTATAACAACCAGTAAAGCACAGTTATATCTGATAAATGTAATCAGAGTGGTCATTTAATCTAGAATATTACACTCTAAGTGTAAAGTTAGAGGAGGGATAAAGAGGTCTAATACATATGCAGTTTCCATTATCTTGGGAAGCTTTATTTGTCTTCTATAATGTTATATAATTCATACACACACATATAAACACAAATGTGCATATACACCAAGCTTGCAGGAGAGGCACATAGCATTGTTTCAGTAGATCTTAGTTTAGTTTGAAAGTTTTCCTTCGAACACTCTACCATTATGTAGTACCAGATGGTTTTCATTTACTTTTCCTCATCCAGTGTTTTTCTCTTGACACTAAAGCCTATTTTGCCACCCTCGGTAGGTAGGATGTGTAGAAGGAGGGTAGATGTTCTCTCCAGTAGCCCTCAACCAACGACTGAAAAGAACTGGTGTAAGGACCTCATTTCCCTCAGCTCTTGTGCAGGATAAATCTGAGGCATATGTCCTACAATGGTTGCCAGAGATCCTCAGTAGAAAGCAGCTCCAGTCACTTACAGTAACAGCTATTTCTGTTGTTTTCATTGTCTTATTTCCACACTCCCCTACTGATGAGTATTTTTGTTTTTGTTTTCTATCCAGAATGACCTACTTGCACTCAGATGCTTATTTTAGATGGCCATCTGCTTGTTGAAGAACCCAAACGAAGATAAATATTAAACAACCTACTTTTAACCTAGTAACCTCCAGAACACTTGTAGATATAACTCAAATTACAAACATATTTCCTTAGAGAAACCTTTTTAATTGTAGTTTGCTATGTTATTCAAATACTTCTAATAATCTACACATAACACAGAAGAGCTAAAAATGTGGGTATAAAATGTAGGCATGGGTTTGTATTAAATTTATACCAGAGTACTTACAGTATTGGATTTGTCATTGAGGCCTGTTAAAATGTTTTAATCATTGGATGCTATTCTCTTAATACTTTGAAAGAAGTTTCTGCCTGATATTAAAACTCTGCCAATAGCAGTCTATCAATCTGTTCATCTTCTAACATCTATCCACAACTAGGAAAGGTGCAGTCAAAATATTTTCTTTAGTTGTTTTTTTAACTTTTACAATGAACAGACTATTTGAGTCTGTTGGTTACCGAAGCCATCAACCAGGTAGGAAAATGATTCCTTTCATGGTTCAATCATAACCTCATCTAAAATTCAGTGAAAATCTAAGACATCAAGTAACCATTTCTACTCTTGTTGCCATGGGAATAGACTTCAGATCAAGGGGAAAAACAAAAGTGTATGGGGTTAGGAGCCTTCAAATAATCATTCAAAATCATGACGAGGTTTTTAGAGTTTCTTTCTTAGATGATTGTTTTGTAGCCTCTTAACCCCCTTTTGCCAGCCTGTTTCCATGGAAATATGACAAAAATGGCTGTTCGAACTCCAGCAGAGATTATTAGCATTCCTGACTTTTAGACTTGGCTCTGACTAAGGCTGGGCAAAACCTTTTTCTATCAGTTTATATATTAACTTACATCATTTCTGTACACTGTAATTTTCTTTGCAATTTCTACTTTGAACATTTTTTTTACATGTTTATAGGTATCATCAAGATCAAATTGAGTAATTGGGACATCACTGAAAAAGGCTTCAGTTTTTAACCTTCATCTATGAGCCATGATATGTAGTGGCAGAGAGCTCAGAGCCTTTAAAGTCCTGTTGAAAACGTTGAGTCACTGGACACAATGTGTCTTATATAAGAATTGGTAGATATGCAGCAAAAATGATATTTAAAATATTTAGCAGCCAGTACGACACAGAACAAATCAACTGGAGAAACTAGTTTGTCCCAGATGATTATCAACCCTACTATGTGGTAACCAATATTAAAGCTAAAAGTAGCCATCTATAAAATGGTTAATATTATATCCAAATAAATTATTCAAGGTCAAATACTGACTTCCTGTAAAACTTACAAAAGAGCTTACAAGAGAAATTGGGTAGAAATACATAGAAATCCATCTTTAAAAAAATCAAAGTGCATATGTTCGCATCTTGATATGAAGGTCATTTGAAAAATCAAAATCATTCTTACTACTGAAGATACAATGCTGAAAGACAAAGAAAGAATGTATATGTGTCTTTGATAGAACCTCTGACCAGGAATCTTGAAAATATGAAAAAAAAAACATACAGTTTTATTCTACCTTACCTTCTGAAATTTGCTGAACAGCTCAATCTACAATTTTTGCTAGGAGGCAATCTTAAAAGTTCTGATTGACCTTAAGAAGTGACTTGATACTTTTGAACACTCTTATTATTCTAAAGTTGGAGTTATTTTGTCTATAGAATCTTATCTTCTATATTTGAACTGGAAAAAGTAAATCTCGATGGATAATTGTCTGACTCAGGTAGGTTCCTAATTTAAATTTAGCAGGGAATAATGTATCACAGAAACTAATCTTGATTGCTGTTACTAAGTATAAATAGATTGTAACCGTAATAAAATAAGAGTATTGGGTTGTCGGAAAAGTCATGACATATTTTTTTTCTGTCCTAAAATGTGTCATGACTTTTACGGCAACCCAATAGTTCCATTAGGTTTTCTAATTATCATTACTGTTCTCAAAACAAGACTTGGTTCACAGGCCAAATCTGGTCTGCAGCTTCTTTGTGTAAACAAAGTTTTATTGGGACATTGGGTTGCTCATTCATATTTTGTTTTGTTTTGTTTTGTTTTCTACTAATTGCCTGTGGTTGTTTTCCCACCAAAAAAGGGCAGAGTTGCATAGTTGTCACAAAGCACACGTCATGCAACGTCTGTCTATTCTCACCCTTTAAGAAAAGTTTGCTATGCTCTTCTGAAGCCTGGATGCCTGAGATAAAAGCCTAGTCCTGCCATCTTCTAAATTTGTGACTTTGAGTTAATTGTAGATTAACCTCAGGTTCCTGGACTGTTACATTGTGAGGATTAAATGAGGTATTATATGCAAATTATTTATAATAGTGCTTGGTACTTAGTAAAACCTCATAAATATCAGTGATTTATTATCACCACCACAGAGTCCTTCTAATTCTGATAGGTATAACCACATTTTTTGTTTTGGAGAGATTATTGCTATAGGGCACTTGCACTCATCAGAGAGACAGAGAAACAGAAAGACAGGAAATGAGAAATCACCCCCAGGGGGAATGACCATGCCACAATCCCTTCTCCTTCATTCTCCACTTGGGATTTTGGGCACCCACACATGCACATGTGAACAGTGTGAATTTCAAGCTGCCAGGTCCAGAACTTGAACCGCCAGGTCCAGGACTCAAACCGCAGTTGACTACCTGGGAGTTCAGTGACATAGCTACTATGCCATCTGCTGGTCCCACCAATTTTAAGAAATATGGTCATGGTATATGGCTATTAAATACAATGAGTTATTTATGTTTTTTAAATATATTTTCAGTTTTAATTATATACTACATTCACTTGAACACTATTTTCTGCATTAAATAATAAAATGTAAAAACATGACATGTCTGATTCAATATAAGAGATCATTCACTTTGGGAATTCTAAATATTAAATTCTATTATCTAGACAAACAGCTGTGAATGAACCAAAGATGAAAAGTGCAGTTATCAGGGAGACGGGGAGAGAACACATTTATCAGACACATGAATGAAAAATTATCTGCTGATGATAACATATATGATAATATCTTTGACTGGATTGATATGTACTATATTTTTGTTGGAAGAAAACATTTTGTACACCGTAAAGATGTATAGGGATTAAATGTAAATTTAAAATGTACAAAATAAAAAAATTATAACATAATGTGAAGACATCTTAAAGATTTCTTGAATTATATGATTATACCACTTTGGGGAAGAAAATTGGTAAGTTTTAGGTTTTTTGAAAAAATGTTCTGAGCAGTCAACTTGATAATGAATAAAAATATGATTGTTTGGAGTGTCTGTACTTACATCCATGAATTCCACATTGGCTTTAGGACCGGTTGTCTCATTGAGAATCTTAATGGCCACGGGAATCTTCACTGTTTCTCCTTCAGGTACCCAGATACCCTTTTGGGGAAAAAGGTCACATTAAATCTACATAAAAATATATATGTATCATTTACAGCCTAAGTAAATTTGATTTGACCTCTCAAATGATTAATTTCCCTAAAAATGTCAGAAGTCCTATATTCTTTCATTCAATCACCACACATTGATGTAGAACCTGTTGTATATTACAAGTTACTCTTTGTTGTCTGTTTTCATTATCTGAAGATGAATTGTACATTCATTCTGCTTTCAGTATGTTAATACTGCTACCAAATTCAATTTGTGTGCATGAAAAAGGTTTTGAATAGTGAATAAAACATTAAGATAAAATAGAATAGTAATATCATCTTCTAAAGATTTTGAGAAGCTATTCTAGTTTTTGAACTTAAATAGTTTCATCTGTAACTTAGAAGATTGGGGTAAGTAATGATAGAGATTCTTTTCAACTTGAATATTACCTTATTATTCTGCAATACCAAAAAAAAAATTAAAAGTATATTCTCACCAGGGGTCAGCAGGTAGCATGGTGGTTAAGGTGCTGGACTCCCACACAGCCAACTGCAGTTCAAGTCTCGGATTTGGCAGCTTGCTTTCTCACTTTCTCTCTCTTTCTGGTGAGCAGATGTAGTCTGTAGCAATTTTTTTTAATTATAAAATTAAATAAATAATTCTTTAAAAATATATTCTAATCTTCCTAAGTTGAGATTCAAAAAGAATTCAATTTTCCAAAGTGATTATTTAAGAATTAGTTTTCAAAGGCATGTACTAGGGGATATTTGGCATATATACATTTCTCTATATTATTAAACAATGTGTTTATGCATGTGTGAAGAATTTTTATCTATAAGTAGTATGCATAGTTATAATAACATTTGTTAATTCTTTCTTCCTCTTAAATTACAATATCTGAAGAAGGCTTATACATTACTAAAGGATAAAGATGGAAGAATATGAGTAAAAGACAACCCTAACCTAAATAAAAGTATTTCTAGGTAAATGGAATTCAAACATTTGAGTAAGTACAATGGTTTTGAGAAGACATACTAGGTTGTATAGATGATACAAGTTTTTTTTTTTTTTTTTTTTTTAAGTTTTTGCAGTAGGGCTTGTGCACTCACTAGAGATCAAGAGACAGTAATCGGGGGACCAGCAGTTAGTGTAATGGCTTTGTCACTGGACTCCCATGTAGCTGACTGCAGTTAAAGTCCTGGACCCGGTGGCTTAAACTCATGCCGGGCACGTGTGCGTGCGTGCCCAAGATCCCAAGAGGAGAGTGGAGGAGAAGGGATTGTGGCATGGTCATCTCCCTGGGGGGTGATTTCTCACTTTCTGTCTCTCTGTCTCTCTCTGTCTGTCTGGCAAGCTCACGTGCCCTATAGTGAAAACCTCTCCAAAAAAATAAATAAATAAGAGAGAGAGACAGTAATTGGGAAAGAGAGAAATCACCTACCTCAAGGATGGCCATGCCTCACTCCCTTCCTCTATTCTCTCAGGATTTTGAACTAGTACATACATGTGTCTGGCATGATTTTCAAGCCTCATTCTGGGACTCAAATCATAGTCAGCCAAGTGGGAGTCCAGTGCCTTAACCACTATGCTACCTGCTGGTCCCCACGAATATTTTTTAAAAGGCATATTGTCCCCAATGAACACAGGGACAAATATGAGGTCATAAAGGGGGGGAAAAAAACCCAAAACAAAAAACCTCAGATTTTAATTTACTAGCCCTGACATCAAAAGAGACTTCTTGCAAATGTGTTAACATTAAAACGAAAGGAAGGGAAAAAAATTGTCTATTATTCCTAAAGAAAACATTTGCACTTCCTGTATTTTTAAACATCATTTGGTTGTAGTCATAAAGATAAAATTTTAAAGTTTTCACTTTAAACTTCTGTGCTATAATGCATATATTTGTGTTACCCAAAGTTGTAATAATCTGAGAAAATCTGAACACAAAAATTATTAAAAAGTAGTAATAGAGAAAGAAAACAAAAGCCTTAAATTGTTAGAAGACGAACATAGGATTGTTTTCTTCCTAGGAAGAGGTAATAGAAAAATAAACGTGTCAAATGAAATGTAGTAAGCAATGTCTCTTGTGGTACAAAATTTAAATATATATATATATATAATAAGCAAAGTAGAAATGAGAAAAAAAAATGCTCAAGATTGATAGACTGCATTTTCTCATAGGTGGTATCTTGGGTAGAGAACAAGTTTACCATATTATTCAATAAAATAACCACCAAAGGTGTTGCTTTATAAAGATATAGCACCTATATTAAAATATTTCTAAAAATTCCTTTCTAAATAAAAATGTAAATTCAATCTGAATTTTTTGTACTGCTTTTGACATAAATACAGTCATTGCTTTCTAGGCCAATCAGATAAATAATAATTCAAGCATGCTGATACCCAGGATATTGGTTCTAGTCTTTTATGCCAAACATAACAAATATCTAATTAGGAAGAAAAATTAACAAAATAATTGGCTAAACCAATTTGTATTTATGTGGTCAAGACTAATCCCTCATAGTTTAAGATACTTTGTTCCTGTTACAGCTGAAATAGCAATTAAAACTTGAGTCAACTATACAAACTCCAGGCTTAAAATTCAAACAAACTTACAAAACTTTAAATAAATTCAATAACAAGTAATTTTAATAATGATAAAATAGTCATGAGCAATAAATAATTGCTCTTAATACAAATATTAATAAATCTTTGATAATTAAATGTCAAAATGGACTATGTTTTTCCCTACTGAGGTCATTTCATAGTATTTAGTCTTGAGTTACAGAGTATCAGTGGTTTAAAAAAATTTAATTTACAGACCATGTTATCTTTAAAAGTATGATTGTTTGCTCTTTAGAAACAATTCAAGATTGAGTTATCTTAAAAAAATGGAAGTTTATTATAATGCATTTGAATATGGCCATTTCTCTATAAATCTATGCTCCATAAACACACTACTTTGCTTAATTGCATTAAATTTTGTCAATGACAAAATTTTATAATTAATGAAATATAGAACTGGAGATAAACCAGAAACTTTCTACTGCTTGGTTCAGCACAGAATCTTTCATTTATGTCTAAGAATATCGAGAATTGAAGCAATTACCAGATAATAATGCTGGTGAGGTGAAAAGCCTAGATTATGATAATAGGCGTTTACTATTGATAAATGGTCCAAAATGATTTTCAGTACTGATTTAATTGGCTACATCACTTTCAATTTGTCAATTTAGTTTAGTTTTGTTTTCCCTAAAGGGTCCATGTGCTTCTTGGTGAGAGACAGAGAGAGGAAAAGTGAGTAGTGAGAAATCACCCCTCAGGGGGATGGCCATGCCACAGTTCCTTCTCCACAGATCTCCTCTCAATATTTTGGATACAAATGCACACACACCTAGCATGGTTTGAAAGCTGCAGGGTTCAGACTACCATCACACAGTCAGCCATGTGGATCCAGTGCCTTAACCTCCATGCCACCTGCTGCCCCTCAATTTCTCTCAACTCAAGGCTGCAGCTTACATTGATTAATCCAAAGAATTTGCTTAATATGTTTTTATCACAGAAATATATCCAATCAAAATTATTAAAGATATGAATAAAATTGATATAATTAAGTAGATGAAAATTTAAGTATAAAAATAGTACAGCTCAAGTTCAGTTTTTTCTAGCATAATGTAAATTCAGAAATGGAGGGGATAAATTGTTACTTGAGCATGCATAGAATTTGAAGATTAGGAACGGCATCAAGTCAGCCTAGATTAGTGCCTATGCAGCTTAGGTGCTCAAATAATAATTTCAAATTTAATTGAACCAAATGTACCTGGCTGAAAAACTAAGGAATTTCTACATTTTTACCTTAGAATAAAACAGCTTTATTTTCAGGATATCAGATTATTTTAGAACTCTCCAGAGAGAAAAATTGAGTTTATTCTAATTGTTAATATTTTCTGTTAAATAAATGTTTTAAATTTAAAAAAGTCAACACAATCTATTCTAACAAATATGTTTGTAAAAATATAAATTTGTATATAGTTTTAAGAATTATATTAAACTGCCAAAGTAAATTTTGGGAATTAGAATAATAGGTATTAAAGGAAGGATTCAGCATTAACCTAGCCAAATTTCTTATTCTTGTTATTTACCATTAAAATACATTTCACCACAGTTAACTTTGGGCAAAGCCTCTGGTTCAATCTTGTAATTTAGACAAATAAGTAAACATACCAAAGCCATCATCTGAATTTTCTCTTTCTATAAATATCCCTTATTGAAAACACACGATCTCATCCTTTTCTCTTTTCTGACCCAAAATTCACACATAAAGTCACATTTTTTTTAGTTTGCACATAATACGGGAGGACATAAAAAATATGGACATTATTTGCAAAACAATATGATATAACCAGGCAGGCACAGATAATGCTTTAGAAACAGCTCCTGTCCCAGTAACACAGCAACACTTTTGTATGGATTCTGAAGAGATCAGATAGTAGGTTTTTGACAGGGAGGCTTTTGCATAAAAGAGCAGAGAAAAAGAGAAAGTTCAAGACACCTTGTCCAAGCATGTCTGGGATTTCATGAAGCACTGTCTAGGAGTACAGAGAAATGGGTCCAGGGCTGTGTACTTTGTAGGAGGAGAGAAATTTGCCAAAAGCAAGAAGATATTGAAAGAAATTTGGAAAGACCTTCAGAATAAGAACTATACTTGGCTTTCTACAGTGTTTCTTGCCTTTCTTTCATGACAACATCTCAGCTGATGTAATAAAAAGTAATGAATTCATTTGTGCAACAACTTCTCAATACTATAGAGGTCCTCATCTCTGAATATTAAAAGGAAATTAGGTTGGCTAAAGTAATAACTTTGGTTATTATTTTTGGGAGTCTGAAACAAAACTTAAAATAACTGATGGTGTGTGTCGTTTATTTACTTACTTTATAAACTGTTCCAAAGGCACCTGAGCCAAGGACTTTTACCCGCTTCAGCTCGGTTTCTTTCAAAATCCGAAGTTGAGCTTGATTGGGTGCTGTGCCACTGGGCGTTAAGGGTTCTACCAACTGCAAAGCAAAAATAATAAGGTCATATGACTTCTGATCCAACCATCAGTCCTTCTCTCTGCCTGATTCTCTTCCTTAAACATGCAAAAACACACAAATGCACTTATCCTCAACAATCATTTCATAAAATGGATTACTCATTGTCCACAAACACATATTTAGATATTCCTTCAGCCCACATCCTTTCTCTTCTATTTGTTACAAGTAATAAATGTGTCCCTACTTTGGGACACACTAGACTAGGGGACTTGATAGATAAAAAAAAAAAAAAAGAAGAAGAAAGAAAAGGAACACTGCCTTTTTAGAGGTTAAAATCTACCAGGGAATTGAAAACAAACTTATTAGAAAAGAGGGGAGAAAAAAAATAAATAAACCAAGCACAATACCAGTACCCTGGGCTAGTGCTTCTAAAACTTTATTGTACTCATGAATTATCTGAGGTTCTTGTTACGATGCAGGTCCTGACACAGTAGGTCTAGGGTAGGCATGAAATCTTGTATTTTCATAGAACTCTAAGTCATGTCTTCATGTGATGATTCTTGAATACGATTTAAGTATCATTGTTCTAGTGTTGTTTTTTGTTTGTTTGTTTGTTTGTTTTCCTGTATCAAAATTCTATGATTTCATTCTAGGTCATAAGTGAATGCCATAGAAGACAAGGAATAAAATAACCATTGAGTAGTGAGTCTTGCTGATTTTGGCTTTCTAAAGAAGGTGCACTTTCAGATCAGTTTTGAGATAACGAAAAAGGATTGACATGAAGGGAGGATCACAGCCACTGCTAAGAACAGTTTGGACACAGCATCTGAAAAAAGAAGAAGACATACAGTGGAATACAACAGGGACTGGAACAGGTCTGAAGGGCGAGATGGAGGTGGACACCAAGTTCAGAGCTGCATTGGGTATGACCAAAAGAAGTAAAATTAGCCTGACAGTCAGAAAAAATACCATAGTTCAGTGATTCAGCTAGAGAGGATGAATGGACAGGGATAAGGTAAGAGAATGTGTCACTTTATATAAAAAATATATAAAGGTATTCTAAGTACTAAAAGTCTATATCCTATGTTAAAATTTTAAGTTTTTAATCTATGCATGAGAAAAAAGGCAAGTGAGTAAAATGAGATTTTAAGAAAATTTTAAAGTTAAATATAGGAACTAAATTCTATATATAGATAAATAACCATTCTTCTTCAGCATAAAGTAATAATTAAGAGCTACTTCTACTCAAATTGTCTTCAAATCACCACATTATTTTAAAATGTCTGTTTTCAAGGACAAATGCACCGTGGCCTTGTAACTTAGGTATTATTATCATGATTCTGTGAACATCATGGCCTACTTTATTAGTGAATAGTTTTAAGTGAAGAAAAGTGGAACTACAGTAAGAATTTTAGAAAGAACATTATAAAATTATTATTGGGCTTAGACTATTTCATAAGAGTTTGACAACTCACCTGCTTATATTTTATTTTCAAATTTATAATGTAAAATTTAAATTTGATAATACATAATTGTATTCACATAACAATAACAACAAAAGTATCAGAAAAAATGTTACTAAAAATTATTTGTTGAATCTGAGAACAAATCTCTGGTAGAGTCTTATTCATTTGAAGTTAACTACTATATGAGAATTGCTTGATAGATTCTTTTTTCATTTTTTTAATTTCATTTTCTTTCATACATTCAAGCACATGATTTAGCTTACAAAATGAATATTTCAAAAGGTGAACATTTCTCTCTAGTCAAGTTGATAAAACTATAAAATATCTTCAACAGATAATACCACATTTCTGTGTCCCATTAATGCTTTGCCTCCCTATTTTTCTTCCAAATGCCCTTCTTCAGACCCTACTCTTTCACACACACTATATCTGGTATTTACAATCATATACTGTGTTTTCATATTCTTTAGTCAATCAGTTTCAGTCATAGAGTGCGGGCACTTGATATATATTAAGTGGAGACATACAATGTCTCTCCTTCTTAGCCTGGCTTGCTTCACTCGGCAGTAAATCTTCCATATTTTTCCACTTTCTGTCAAAAGCCAGTTTTTTGTTTTTTTTTTGGCTGAATAGTATGTTTTGTTGTATGGCTGAATAGTATTCCATAGAGTATATGTGCCACGGTTTTTCTATCCATTCATCTGTTCATGGGTATTTGGGTTGGTTCCATGACTTAGCAATTGTTAATAGTGCCACAATAAACATGGATGTGCAAGCACTTTTCCAGTTAAGTATTCAAACTGTGTGTATAATAATTTTATGAATCTTTTTTTTTTTCAGTTTATATATTTTTTTTCTTTCATGACAGTGGGAGTTGGAGAGACAAAGAGAAAGAAAGACAAGCACCAAGAGGGTATCAGGCAGTAATTTACCCACACCCCAGCATTTATGGCCAGCCAGGATCCTGGTGCCTAACATTACAGGTCAACTTTCCTAATGGATGAAACATTGGGTTAGGAAAACATTACTGTTGTACCATCAAGTCATACCTTTTAATGAATCATTTTTTAAAGTTACTGACAAAATTCATCTAAAATTACATTGCAAGGGTCAGCAGGTGGTATGGAGAATGAGGCAGCCGGATCCCACGTGGTTGACTGCATAGTTTGAGTCCTGCACCCTCTGGCTTCAGAAATACTCTGGACACATGTGTGTGCAGGCCTAAAACCCTGAGAGGAGAATGGAGAAGGCAATGTGGTGTGGGCACTGATTCTGGAAGGTGTTTTTTCACTTTCCCTTTCTCTCTGTCTTTCTCTCTCTGTCTCTGTCTCTCTCCCATGAGCTCATGCACCCTATAGCAAACTTAAAAAAAAAATACATGCAAAGTTGGGGAGGAGGCCTCAACATTTTGGATTAGATATAATTAATATATTTCAAATACCATAGATTGCATATACCACATAATAATTCATGTTTTGAACCCTCAAAGTTAGTTCTACTCAAGCTGTTTTTTCTTCTACATATTCTTAGATATTTTTTAGAACACCACTACAAGCACATTCTTTAAGAAATTTGAGCATTATTCCTTTACAAAAAACATAGTGTCATTTTGCAAACTAGCAGTGAATATACAGAAAGAGTATTGAGTTTAAATTTGGACATGAGTGCACCTGTGCTACCATTCACAGGCTTAAACAGTAAATTTAACCCTTCTGAGCCTTTATTTCTATGAAACAGGTATGGTAATAATTACAGGATTGTTAAAGGATAAAATGAGAAAATACGGGTCTGAAATCCTGGAAAGTTGCCTGGCATATTGTAGTTACTAAATCATTCACTCCAAGGGATAGGATCACGTCTCATTAATACATTTTTTAATTAAAGAAACTAATAAAGCATCAAGTTCACAGCACATCTCAATAAGTGTGTTTTAAAATATATGTATTTCCTACTTTTGAACATGTAATAGAAGAAAGACAATCTGTAGCAAAATGATTTGGGGAAAATTAATTAACTTTAGTGTATTTCAACAATATATCAAGACTTACTAAAGGTTTTATCTCTAAAACAGATATCTATCTTCTGTATTTAAGGATTTAAATTACCCTTTTAAGAGTTCCTCTTGTATTTTGATAGTGGTAGAAGAATCATAGTTGTGTATATTTATTGAGAGAGAAAAAGGACTGTCTGTAACATCCAAATATAAGGTAATTTGGTTCTAAGTGACAGCCTTCTACAGAAAACAGAACCCCCTAGCCAGAAGTGATGCTGCAATGATGCTGAAGCCAAGTGAGAAGGTTCTGGGGTCGATCCTGAGGTCTCCCTGTCTGAAGACATGTACGTATGTGGCTAGGATCTTTGCTGGCTGCGACTGAGTATGGGGATCGTGTTGGAGTGCCAGTCTCTTTCTCTTTCATGAAAGAAACAAATGAATGCACTTAAAAAAATAGAGCCTAACTGTAAAATCAATCAATGTGTCTATATTTACTTTTTACTATGTCAATTTGAAAGACATTTTATTAAGCACTGAATTACAAAATTAAAAGCAGGGCTGGCAGGTGGCATGGTGGTTAAGGGAGCTGGACTCCCCCATGGCCAACTGTGGTTTGAGTCCCAGACCTGGCAGCTTGCTTTCTCACTTTCTCTCTCTCTCTGTCTCTCTCTATCTCTCTTGTTTTCTCTTGCTCTGTCTCTCACTGGTGAAATGAAAATAAGTAAATAAATAAAGTTGAATGAAATAATTCTTTATGAAAAAAATTGAAAGCAAAACTAATCAACATAACTTTTTTGTAGCGGTGAATCTTCCCAGCATATGATTGAGTGACAGAATTTCTTTTCTATTTATTCAATCTCTTAAATATTTTAAAAGACCGTTTTGGGGGTCTAACAAGTGCCATGGTGGTTGAGGCACTGGACTCCCATATGGCAAATTGTGGTTCAAGTCCTGGATCTGGTGGTTCACTTTCCCTCTTTCTTTCTCTCTTTCAGGTGAGCACACATGCCCTGAAGAAAATTGGTGAATAATGATAATTATGGATAAAATTAAATAAATAATTCTTTATTTTAAAAAATTTAAAAAATATCATGCCCGGTGTGTGTGTGTGTGTGTGTGTGTGTGTGTGTGTATGTGTGTGTGTATGTGTGTGCACGCGTACACGTGCACACGTGCATGCATGCCCAAAACCCCAGGAAGAGAATGGAGAAGGGATTGCAGGGTGGTCATCCCTCTAGGGAATTGATTTCTCACTTTCCCTCTCACTGCCTCTCTGTTGAACATACACACTCTATGACAAAAACCTAAAAACAAAAAAGAGAAAGAGAGAGAGAGAGAGATTGTTCCAGGGAAGCTAGGTGGTGTGTTGGTTAAGATGGCTGAACCCCACATGGCCAACTATGTGGTTCAAGTCCCAGACATGCTGGTTTGAAAAACATGCCAGGTATATATGTATGTATGCCCCAAATCCCAAGAAGTAAATGGAAGAGAAGGGGTTGAGCCAGTCATTCCCATGGAGGTGGTATTCCATTTCATTTTCCCTCTCTGTCTCTCTCTAAGGAGTACATGCACTTTACAGCAAATTAAAAAAAGAAAGAAGAGAAAAGACTGGAATCTTCACTTCCACTGCAACTCCAGTGTACTTCACATTCTGGAATTCTTTTATTGACTCCCCATGTTGGCCATTAGGGGGAATTCTATCTAATTAAATCATCATAGCTATAGATAAGTTGAAAATATGAACAGCACCTGTGATGTGCCCAAAATTTCACTCACATATGCAAGGTTGAAAGTGATCAAATGGATCTTCTGTAAATACCTACCTAATATAGGAATTACTACTAGGTTTACTCATGTAGATAATTGACTACCTCTATTTGCTTGACTATGTCTATCAGTGACTCATCCCATTCCAATGTCAGATAACACTAATTCTTAGAAAGTATTTTTCTAAATGTAATTATAAAGTATTAGGTTGTTGGGCAAGTCATGATGTATTTCTCCATGTTTCTCCATGCAATGGCTTCCTGGAACCTTCATAGGATTTTTCACTGTAGTTTGACTTTTGGAGTAAAAGTGCTAAAATTAAATTCACTATTAGTTTGCCACATTTATGAATGAATGAATATTCCCATTCCTGTCAGCTGATGGGAAAAGTCTAATTGTCACACTGAGTACAGGACAAAGCAAACATAGTATATGTTGAATCTCAGGACAAAATTACTCCGAACTATTCAGACAGAAATGAATGTGCTATCAGGAGAAGGAGGTAGGATGGGAGTTGAGAAAGGTCTGATCCGATAATGCATAGTCCATAGTAATTGTTAACCCTCTGTGTTCTGTACAATGAAATCTATCAGCTTGCATGCTAGAGACTCATGTAGCAATAATTTTAAATTATAATAATTTATGGAACATTTACATATTCATAATGACCTCCATGCATAATATAAATTGCGTTCTAAGATCTGTGCGTGATTACAACACTAAGCTTTACCCTGTAATCACAGTCTTTCACTGCTACCATAACAAGATTATTTACTACCAACTTATTGATCCTAAAGCATACATTGCTTGCCCATCAGATTTTATTCTGAACAGAAAAACTCTCTCTCTCTCTCTTTTTAGCTCTTCCACTAAGATACTCTGTATCCAATTATTTCCTTGGTTATGTTGATATTGAAATAGCCTCTACTCAGAGCTTGCTAAAGGGATCCCACACTCTCCTACTCCTCCTACACACAAGTAGATTGTCTTTCCCATAATACAATAATTTCCTTGACCCTTGCCATCTACCCTTTTAAAGCCAGGAATCAGTTTTGCTTACATGAACTATGATACTATAATTCTTCATCATCTTTGTTAAACATACTATAAAACACAAGTTCTCATCAAGAAATTGAACAGAATTTTCACTCAGATTAAAAAACTAAATATCATCCAAAGCTAATAAATATACCTGAACACATGAAAAGGAGAAAGAAACCCCTCACCTCTGTTTCCAGAAACCTTCTCAAGGCTCTTTTCTTTTTGATGCTCTTCCTTCTAACATACACTGCAAATGTCAGACCCAGGATGACCACGATGAAGAGACCACCAATGACACCAGCTGCAATCAGGGGAGTTCTGCCAACCAGAATGAAGGGAAAAAAGATATGAAGAGGGAAGACAGAGGAAGAGGAAACAGCAGATGAACATGGCATTGTGCACAGTGCATAAAAGTAATCATTCAGAAGATATGCAAATCGAAACACATTAAGGCTCTAACAAAACATTTCTCATGGTAAAAAAAGAGATGTTTTTGGTCTTGCTTTGCTTTATTTTAATAATAAACCATGCACACACAACTAATCTTTGGAGACAAGCAGCCACAACATGCCATTTGATGGAAAAATGTAAAATTTGGTAATAGAATGAAGCACATATATCAAAATATGGTATGGGAACAATTTAAATTTTTAAAATTTTACAATTATCTATGAATAAATGGAAAACATGTTTTAATAATACTGTTATCATATGTAATTTTCTTTTCAGTATTTTCTCTAAAAGACTTTATCAACAGTGGCACTATTGACATGGGCAGGATACTAGCTTGTCACAGGGGACTGTCACATGCATCTAGGGATGTTTGGCACATCCCTGACCTACGTATTCTACATGCCAGTAGCATCACCACGCTCTAGTTGTGACAAACTCTCTAGATGCTATCAAATGTCTGCCAACATCACTCCCAGTTGAGCAGCGCTGTTCTAAAACAAAAATGAGTGGTATGGAGATTCTCTGCCTCTGGAGTACAGGGCAGAAATAAGAAAATTGTTATTGTCAAAATTGCTATTTGAGGGGCCAGTAGGTGGTGTGGTGGATAAAGTGTGTTGGACTCCCACATGGCTGATCGAGTCTCAGACTTGGCGGCTTGCTTTCTCACTATCCCTCTCTCTGGTCAAATTAAAAAAAAAAATAATGATGATGATGAATAAAATTCAATAGCATAATTCTTTTAAAAAATTGCTACTTGAAACTCTGATAAAGGCCAAACTCTGAAAGTGGGCAGGAGAAAGACAAATAATTGGTCAGGTAGGTTTTCACAGCAGTGGTAACAGGCACAAATATGATCAAAAGTGGGTCTAGACACAATATACTCATGGAAGAGGTCTGCACTTTAAATATTATTACATTTTAAAATACAAATAGTATTGGGACCAGCAGTTAGTGTAATGGCTATGTCGCTGGACTCCCATGTAGTTGATCGCGGTTCGAATCCCGGTGGCTTAAACTCACGCCGGATGCGTGTTTGTGCGTGCCCAAGATCCCGAGAGGAGTATGGAGGAGAAGGGATTGTGGCGTGGCCACCCCCCCCGGGGGGGGGTGATTTCTCACTTTCTGTCTCTCTATCTCTGGCGAGCACATGTGCCCTATAGCAAAAACCTTCTAAAAAACAAAACAAAGCAAAAAAAAAAAAAAAGAAAAGAAAAGAAAGAGAGAGAAGGAAAGTGAGAAAGCAAGCTGCTGAGTCTGGGACTTGAACAACCATCAGCCGTGTGGGAATCCAGTATCCTTAACCACCACATCACTTGCTGGCCCCAATTGTGCCTTTTATTTTTTTGAGGTTTATTTCTTCCGAGAGAGAGAGAAAGATCTAGGTACCTTTAATAAGCTCCATACGCCATGACCCTCCCTCAAGCTTGTCTAGCCCATATCAGGGGCACATACACCTGGCATGTACACAGAGGCCCTGGGACAAAAACCCAGGACCTTTCTATGGAGGTCTAATTGGATTACCAATATCTGGCCCCTGTTTGCAATTTTTAACTTCTTATTCTAAAATAGGTGGTATTTATGAGCTTTCAGTGATTGGAGTACTGAAATATATTAATTTTGTATGACATAGCAAATAACCTGGAATGAAACACATAGGTATAACAAATATTTGATCATAAAACCATGAAAGATACCAAAATCTAAAAGAAGAGTTTCCTGTATGCTCATGCTTTTCATAATAAGGCATTTATATCTTATATTCCTATTTTTAGGAGAACCTATTCTACATATACAGCTGCATTTTATTAGAAAAAAACTTATTTGCTCTCTCAAAATAAGCTTTTGTCCAAAGATAGCTCAGAAATAATAATAGTGGATGATCCTAAATAAAAGCTTGAAATTTTAAAGTGCTCTTTAAACGAATCTGTGTAACTTTTTCTATAAATGAAGTCATGTCTTTTAAAGATTATGACTGCTATATTTCATGTAAGACTGTAGAAAAATCTAAAATTGTGCTTCATCCTAAAGGTTGGTTCCTGACAGCTCAAAGAACTATAGCATACTGAAATGTTGCTATAATTCAACTAGATTTTCCTAAATGGGATTTCCTAAAGATATAAAAATCTATGCTGAGAAAATTAAACTATACGATGGACACAAACTCATCATTGTGAAATGTTTTCATGTGTGTAAGATCATATTTTTGAGCATTCCAGTTAAATATGTATTTCAGGGAATATTTTAGGCTTTCAACTCAAGGCATAATTTTCAGCTCACGTGTATAACATATTTCTAAAAAGTCACTATTATAGAGGAGATTGTAGTTTTGTTTCCTTGACCCAATCGTTTTATTGCAAAACATTTATGTAGAGTTGAGAATAGTTTCCAACATTTTGTTAATTGTATATTTATTGGACTATTGAGAAAGTCATGACGTATTTTGTGCATAGAAATACATGAAAAAATACATCATGACTTTCCCAATTATTTAACAGATAAAACTCTAAACTATTTAGCCTTATTTATTTTACAGAAGAATAGGTTGGTATATAATAATGAACACATAGGTTATAATGTCACTTTTATTTAAAAAAATGCTCTATCTTAGTTTTTTGGATTTTATTATTTCTCTTAAGAAGGATCATTTCCAATAAAACAAAATGAGAGCTCCATTCTTTTCATCTTATTTTGGTGGAGATTAATTGTTGTGTCATTACTACTCAGGTTGGTCATCGTAATCAAAATAAGACATCTAAAAACTCCACAGATAGTAATATCTGTTTTACTAATAGCTTTTATTTTCACCATTTTTCCACAGTAGTTTCTTTAGCTGATTTGAACTTTTTCTTCTCTCTTTCTCTCATTCTACTCTGCAGAAACTCTAGAGGCAAAAGAACACATTAACAATCATCCCTCTTACTCAAAAAAAAAAGAAAGAAAAGAAAAAACCTGAAGAAAAAAAGAGCTACCTAAACATCATATATAAATGTTTTGTTGGACATGTTAAAAAGCCAAATTCTTTATATTCCTCTAAAATTTACTCTTGAAAAAGAAAATCATTAACCACAAAAAAACCACCAGTAAAACTGAGGAAGTTGAACATTAACATTTTTTTTTTTTTGGAGAGGTTTTTGCTACAGGGTGGTGCACTCACCAGAAAGACAGAGAAAGACAGAGAGACAGAAAGTGAGAAATCACACTCCAGGGGGGATGGCCATGCCACAATCCCTCCTCCTCCATTCTCCTCTCGGGATTTTGGGCACGCATGCACACGTGCCCAGCGTGAGTTTAAGCCACTGGGTCCAGGACTCGAAACGCAGTCAACTACATGGGAGTTCAGTGACATAGCCATTACACTAACTGCTGGTCCACCGAACATTAACATTCTTAAGACAACTTGTAGAACAGTGGTTAAGGTGCTGAACTCCCACATGGATGACCTTAGTTCAAGTCACAGACCCAACAGCTTGAAAATTCTGCCAGGCCTTATGCTGTGTGCCCATAATCGCATGAGGAGAATGAAAGAGAAGGAATTGCAGTATGGCCATCCTCCCTGGGGCAATTTTTCACTTTCCCTCTCATTGTCTTTCTCTGTCACTTTCTGGTGAGTGCAAATTTCCTATGTCCCCCCAAAAAAAAAAAAATTGTCTTTAGTAACATGAAAAAATAATGATCTAATCTAAAAAGACTTATTAGACATAACAATTGGAGGTGAAATGCAGTCATGAATTGGATTCTGGTTTGGACAAACTAGCTATAGACTCTTTTTGGAGATCACTTGAGAAGTGCAAAAATGGACTAGATAATACATACATGAAAATTTGCTAAAACAAATGAGGGCCATAAACTCAAAAAGGAAAGGCATTACAAAACAGTAGAACCTCAGCATGGGAAAACATCTATAGATCCATAAACCAATAGATCTGGAATAATCCAAAATAATACACTAAATAGTCGTTGTCTCTGGATGGTACAAATGCAGTGATTTAATTTCTCTCTTTTGTTTGTTTGTTTGTTTTTTTAGAGGTTTTTGCTGTAGGGCACGTGCGCTCGCCAGACAGACAGAGAGATAGAAAGCGAGAAATCACCCCCCAGGGGGGATGGTCACGCCACAATCCCTTCTCCTCCATTCTCCTCTCGAGATCTTGGGCATGCATGCACACATGCCAGGTAATTTCTCTCTTTTTACTAGTATACATTTTTCTAATTTAAACAACAGTTATATTTATTTTGAGATAGTAAGTTTATTAAATTTAAAGAAAGATACAGAAAAACTCATGTTTAAGTTTAGTAATAAAGGTCTTTTTTTTCTTGAATGTTTACTTTGCATTTTTTAAATTAAGACATCAACTTTTTATTCCCTGTCCACTTTCTAATATTTCTGCATACATTTTCAATTCATTATAGTTTAAGCATCTGAGACATTTAATTACCATGTGTTATATATATACACACATACATACAGGTATAGGAGAAATGAGCATTTTTTTTCCTAATAATTATGAGGGCATTTTGGACAAAGAGAATATAGGTATCTAAGTTGCTCCTTTAAATTGCTTTATATCTCCCCTAGGTCTAATGCTGGCTATTGCCAACTAAGCTGTTTCTGAGACTGTTTTCACCAGTATGTGAGTCAGAGGAATGTCTAAGAGGCTCTGATATGACACTGTTGAGATTAGAAGGGTCAAACACAAAGGGACCTAGAATACTCTGTAATCCCTAACTTGGAACAGAAGTAACTTTGTTTGTTGTTTTGTGTTTTGGATGCCCATTAACATAGCTGAGATCCACTAAAGCATTACAGATAGAGCACTTCAAGAGCTAAGTGGAGGCCTAGACTAAAGGATGTAATCAATTAGTAGACC